AGAGCCTGTTAGTTTGACTGAGAGCAATGAAGCAGATGGAGCTGAGGAAGGTTCTAAAAAGGTAGAAGAATTCGTCCCAATAGAACCAGAAGAAACAGCTGCTACCGATGAAGAAAGTCCACCAAGTAAACCAGAAGAAGAGGAATCTCTCATCCTTGTTCCTCCAGAACCAGAAATAGAAACAGAGGAGATTGATCAAACAGGACCTGCTTCAGAAGACACAACATCTGAGGACTCAGCTCAAGAGACTCCTGTAATTATTGTTCCGGCAGGTGCTGCTGAGCAGGAGTCCGATCCCGAGGAAGAAGAAGAAACTGTCCCGGTGAGTGCTTCTGACACCAAAGAAGAAATTTCAGAGACACATGGTGCAGAGGATGACGCATTAGTTCCCGTATTGTCAGAGGAAGAACCTGCTATTATTCAAGAAACCACTTCTACTACTTCAGAAGAAGTGGACTCCCTTTCTCCTGATGAACCGGGACCTCCTGCAGAGGAAGCAGCAGCTGAAGACTCAGAGGATCCTGCTGTTATTATTCCTGTGGCTGAGCAGGAGTCAGAGCCAGAACAACCAGAAGAAACTGTGACTGTAAGCAAAGAGGAGCATTCAGAGGAGCAAGCAGCAGAGGTTGATGTATTAGTCCCCGTAATGCCAGACGCCACTTCTGCTACGACAGCAGAGGACGCCTTCGTCCCTGCTGAGGTCGAGCCTTCTGAAGAGGAAGCGGTTTCAGAGGAGTCAGCCACTCCAGCTATTGTTCCTGTGGATACACTAGAAGAAGAAGAATCCCCTGTCATCGTTCCTTCAGAAGCCGAGACAGAAGGCGACGGTAAAGAAGAACCGGCATCAGAGCCAGACCCAGAAGAGCCTGCTGTTGCTGAACCCACTCATGTGCCGCCATCTTCAGGAGATCCGATCCCCGTCATCCCCCTGGAGGAGGAGGAAGACCAAAGCTCAGAGGAGGAGGCTGAGGAAGACAAAGCTGTGCAGGAAGAGGAGACAGTAGCTGAAACAACCAGTGGTGCACCTGCAGCTATCCCGGCTGTGAATATTCCTGCTGCTGCAGGCGGCAGCCACCCCAAAGTCCTGCTGCACACAGATGAATACAAAGCTTCAGTTTTACCAGTACACGAAGAACCTGTGGGTAAGAAGCCAACACTGAGCTGCAGTTAAACCGCTGAAATCATATTGCCCCCGCGGTATAAATCATTTTCTTCCGTCACATGTCCTACTAACCGATAAATGTAAACATGAATTATTCCAACTGTCCTCTTCCAGCTCGGATGAACAGAGGAGCCATACTTGGGGCAGCGCTCTTAACTCTGATGTCCGTCATCATCGTTGGATTTATTGGACTGACAATGATGAAGAAACTACGGTGAATGTGTGAGTATTCAGCCAGTATGAACATGAATTCACAAATGTTTCACAAAATGGCATCAGTGTCCAGAAACCTTGTTTTAGAACTTTACTACATCTTAGAAACAACATTATTAAGCGGCTATAAAGAGTTTTTCACCTAACCAAACAGGTTTTACCGGGTGATTTTTCCTTCTTTGAACACAAACTAAACAAAAAAAACACAGAAATCTCAGAAACATTGATGTGTTATGTTTCTTGCCACTGTTTTTTCCCACTTGTAGGACGTGGACATAAAACTCACCAAAGTAAAGAGGGAATTGCCATTGAGGATATGCTAAACGCAGAGCACAGAGCGAGCGGAACAGGCTTTTTCTGCTTTGAGACTCTTCCTTGACGTGGATTTCTCCAGAAATCAACATGGAAAAGTGGAAAGTGTCTGTTTTCCACCTAAATCAGTGTTAGAATAGGAACAGTTTTAAGATCTTCTGCTAATGTCGATATATCAGATGGAGAGGCTGAAGTGGTGTGTGTGTGGGGGTGGGCTGCTGCTCTGGATTTCCAGTTGCTCTCCTTCATTCGGAAAGTTGCCAGTTTCTTTCCTAACTTCCCTGATCTACATGTTACACAAGATGTCCTTGTGAGAAAACACTGAGCCTGACACCATCCCCAAATGTGTTCTCCCAAAGTGAGTCATTTATCATCAGCGAAAAGTTCTGAAGCATAAACATGAATTCACAGACAGTAAAATTCTTCGATCTGTAAGTAGGATTTTCCTGTTCCTGTTTACCTGTTCTTAGGATTTATCTGCTCTGCAAAAAAAAAATCTCAAATTGGAAAAAGAATACTGCTGTCATAGCATGCTTGCGAGTTCTTAAATGTGGTGCAATACGAGTTGGATGTGTTGTATACTTTGCCATTTTTTTCCATTTTTATAAATGCGTTGATAGCTGTTGGATGGGTGTTGGAACAGGCAACCTTATTCCGGTTTCACATGTTCTGAACCTGTTGTGGCGCCTGTGACATGGACAACAGACGGTGGAGATGCTCCCTAAAACATGAGATGTATTTGAAGTAGCACTAAATGAATGAGTGGAGTCATGTGTGGTAATGTTTTGATTTTGAAATCTGTAAATGAGGATAAGATTGCACTTGTTACCTGCTGGACCTTTTGAGTGGTGGTCATAAAATGATTTTCACCGGCCGCTTTGCGATGTTTTTATCTTTATTTGGTTTGTAAAGCATCCGTGATCAAGCTTTTCTTTAGGGACAGCGTGTACATCTCCCTCTGCCCAAACTTGAGGACGTGCTGCGAAAGAGCAGCCGGGCATATCACTTTACCTCCTCTGTCACACAGTTTGAGACGGAGAGGCCTCCGAATGTCATACTCAATCATACTCTGGTATGCTGCAACACCAGCTCCATGTGCATGGTTCATCCGGCACACGTGTGCATATTTTTAGGAAAGTAAGGGTGCATAATGTTCCAAAAAATAAGTTTAGAATCATTTGCTTGCAAAAGCTTCCAAAGCACCATATCCCATCATAGTTCTTACATGACTTTATTTGGACTAGAGTATGTGTATAAAAGAAGCATAGGCTTTAAATATATGTGTATATATATATATATATATATATATATATATATACACACAATCAAAGAAAAAAAAAGTACTGTAAATGTGGGAATTGTACAACAGACTTTGCACAGTCTCCTTAAAAGCAACACGTCCTAACCTGCTAAATATTTGCCAGATTGTGAAATGAGAAGATACAACAAGGGAGGTCCCAAATTGTTGAGCGGCTGAAATCCAATCAAGCTCAGGTGTTGTTAAAAAAAAGAACAGAACGTCACGAGATGAGCAACATGCCCTGTCGTTAAAAATCGTTACACACGTTGCAACAACTGGTGCTGATAAGAATCTGATTTTTTTTTTCTAATCATAAATATTTGATTTTCTTTGTTGATGGTCAAACTAACAACGCAAAATTTTACATGAACAAAACAGAGATGGCATCGCAAACAGTGAATATGACGCTTTTTTTTTCAATATTTCATGAAAAACATTCAATATTGGATTGGAGTACAGCAATGCATGTGAAAAAAAGGGGCAACAAAAGACTGCAAAAGTATGTGGAGCTGAAAAAATGCCTTTAAAAAATTGATTTAAAACTACTACGCTTGATCTGCATTTGGTGAGTGATGTGGTTTGGGTACGAAAAGAGGAGCTTAGAGAGGCAGAGGTAAAGACCAGCAGAGATAAATAAATGTGCAAAAATTAAGAAAAAGAATAAAAGGCATGTTAGGTTGGGTTTTGATACTGCATAATCTGTGGTATGGGACAGCATCATAAGAAGAAAACGTTCCCATTCTGAGCCTGAACTGTTCTGTGAGGCATTCACAGGCGGTTTTTGAGGGGAAAAGTGGACGCGGAACAATGCTAATCATGACCCCGTCTCAATATTTTTGGCACTGCTGCCATAAAATTCAAGATGGGCGAAAATTGATCAAAAAATGGTCAATTGTTGCCCTCTTTATCAGACTTTTTCCTCCGGATGCTGCCCCTGAACCTTTCCGGAGCTCAGGCTGTAAAAAGCAGGACGTCAGGCTTTGGTGACTGCACCTGAAGAGGAGAGACGACATGAGGGCATGAACGACCGAGAAACGAGAGATTGAGGCAAATGGAAACCTCGAATGCCATCGGTGACCTCCGACGCGGCGTCAGTTCCTGCTTCAACAAGTCAGAATACCGATCCTCTCACAGTCATCAACGGGATGAACCGCAGCGCCTTCTATCCCAGCAGGAAAACACATCTGAGAGGAGGCAGGTTTGCACGTGGGTGCTCGGGTATCTGTGGGCAGAGGCCGTTCTGGGGGGGACGCGTGTGGCGGTGGCACAGCAGCCTCTAGTGGCCGCGGGGGCGATCTGTTAGAAGACACAGGCTGCCAGGCAGTGGGAAGTTCCTCTGAGACACAGAGACTGAAGTTATGACGCGGCCTCACAGGAGCTGGAGCCCCTGAAACGTCGTCGTCAGAAGAAGAAGGGATTTGCACTGTGCTGTAAATAGCAGAAATTATTTCAGTGCTGTTTCCGTGACAGATGTAAGCTTTCCCTTCACAGACCGCCTCGGTTAAATAAGTATTCTGTTGCGTTTGCATTTGGAGGCCGTTGCAGTGAACCTACGTTGTGCAACCCGAGGAGCTCAGAGTGTAAGTCACAGGTCTGTGGGCAAAAGAAAAAACTAATAATCAATAAAACAACACCAGCGAAAGGAGAAACTAAAGCAACAGTTACACATCGAAGTAGGATCATTGCAGCTGAGTTTAACCCTGTTAGCACATTCACCAGAAAACCCAAGGAAAAAATCTTTTAAAATCATACAAAGTCTCAGACACAAGTCTGCCATAATGGGAAGCTTTCACCAGACAGAAGACAGAGGGCTCACTTAAAGTGGTAAAACTAAAAAATACCCATTCTGATTAGTCTTTAAACGGGTGAAAAACTTCTGCTACTGCTGAGCAGAGAAGCCTCAGTCGTGGTCCAGAGCGGGCATCATGTGTGACGCCCCCCCCCCCCCCCGCGTGGCTTTGTGTGGGTCTCTGGACAGAGGCAGAAGCGGAAAATAAACTTTTCATGCTTACATACAATAGCCTTTTTTTTAAATGTATTGCTCCAACAGTCTTTCACAGCGAGAACGGACAAAGTGCAAGTGCCGAAATGTTTAAAAAAGGATAAACCTCTTGTGATATGAATGCCTGTCGCTTCCATTATTTCTGCCCCGTCCAGACGACCTCGTTAACATTTGAGATGGTATTCTGAATAGCTTCTGGTTGGCATTGCTAAGGAATACAAGAAAAAAAAAAACAGGGAAAAAAAACTCACATTTCAAAAAATGAACAGCCTGTCAATTTTGACCAGAAACAATCCAGGTTGAGCACATAATTTAACAGCAAAAGGCACTTTGTGCCTGCTGTTGTTGGGTTCTGCTCAGCTGTTGGTGGATGCACAGATGGCACCAGCCTACAGGCCCATTATACTCCCAGATGAGCCTGAGCAAGGTACTTAATTGGCCCGGTTTGGTGTCCGGCTGCAGAGTGGACGCTTCTCGGAGCCATCGGCTGCAGGAGAGGCGGCCGGGGAGCCTGTCGTCCTGCAGAAAAAGCCTCCGCTGCTGACCGGAGCCGCGCTGACCGGTCGCTGAGGCTCTGACAGCCTGCAACTCTCCACCATCCGAGTCACCGAAAAGCCTCTCGACTCAAGCCTCCATCCGCCATTTTCGGCGGATTGGAAGCAGGTAGAGCCCCCAAATCACAAGTTCCCCGCTGAAAATCCCGCAGGTAAGTGCGCCTACGGGGATCCTAGAGCCCCTAAAGCACCTTAGGACGAGGAAACGGGGAGAAAGAAACACTCCACAGCCCCCTCACTGCGTCCGTGCATCGGGGGGAGAATAAGGGGAGCGGACGGTGTGCAAACAAGGGTAACAACAAACAAAAACCCTGCATCCTCCAGGCGCTGTGGAGAACATTTTCCATCCTCTTTTTATTTGTCTTTGTCAACTTTTTTTTTTTTTTTTTTGGGGGGGGGGGGGGTGGACAGACGAAACGTTTTAAAATCCGCTTTGCGCACACCCTCTGCGAAATCTGTCTCTGTTTGGGGATTGAACTTCAGCTCCGGCGGGCCGAAAAGATGCCCGGACACAGTTTGGGAATAGTGCAAGCAGATAAAGACGCGAGGTCCAGCTGAATGGACTGGAAAATAAAACAAAAACAAGAAAATAAAAAAAAAAGTTGCGCAGTTTTCCTCCTCTGTTTGAGGAGGAGCGGGCCCGGACACGGACAGACGCAGACAAAAGGGTGTCCTGTTTTTTGGTTTTGTTTTTACATGTGCGACTCATCATTTGTTTTGGGTGATGTAACGCTCTCAATATGCAAAGAAAGAGAGGCTCAGATCAGCTTTTCTGCTCCGAACCATGTGGGATTTCTACATTTTTAATGAATAGAAGTGGAACTGGTGGGCCCAGCCCACAACACTTGAATGTCTCAGCAGCTTTATTGTCCTCAACAAATGGCTCTTCTGCCAGTCAAGATTTTAAAAAATGTTAAAAATCCATGTAAGAAAAAGCAGAATATGTGCCTGTGGTGGACGCATTTGATGGAAAAAATGTTTTTTGCTGAGTTGAAATGATTAAATAGTCTGCTCTGGTTGTCACAATCCCAAGCAAACAACAAAATGAAGTGTGAGCTCTTGTTAAATGAAGGTCTTGACAACTCCATAGATTTAGACTTAAAAAAAAGAAGTTCCTTCTTTGTATTGTATCCTTAGATTTGAAGAAATATCCATAGGTCAACCAACCCAGCCCACATTTAGCCTGTAAAACAAACAGAGAGCGCGTGGCTAGTGATGAAAGTTTCACCCTGAAAGCTCAAACAAATTCTTTTAAACATGCCATCTACCTGTAATTGAATAATCATCTCATGTCATGATGTGACTTGGCAGAAACGCCTACTATTTAGAATTTGGGGGGGTCTGGATCACCACAGAAACAACGGGCTGTGGGTGTGGGTTGGCTTTGCTCTTTATACCTTAAATCTCATGGCAAACTGATATCGTAACGTTATTATCAGCACTATCCATATGCTGTTGTCTCATTGTGGAAATGATTTGACTTCTGGAGCATCTACAGCCTGTGACTCACCCTCTTTGTTCCATCTCAGAGTTGACGGGCCACGGAGGCTTCCAGACCCAGTCCTGGGGGGCCTCAACAGGTAAAGTCCTCATTAAAATTGAATATGGATAAAATTGGAACCCAAAAAGAAAACAGATTAGTTTAACTTTTAACGCGTGGGTCAGCGCAGGTCATGGCTATTATCGGAGGAGCTGTGGAGACTCTGGAGGAAATCCCGGCCCATGTGTGGACGGGTCTGCCTGACTGTCTGAACCTCGGACGCTCTGCTGTGAATCAAAGTCGCGTTGGTGAGTTTTCCCAGAAACATCTGACTGTAGACCAGGATGGCGATGGAGAAAGACAAGCAACGTGATTAGTGTGTTTAGCTGAGGGGTGTGATTGGTCAGTGTGTAAGGAAGGAAAATGATATTTTAAAGTAAACTATTATTACTGTGTAAGTTTTCCCTGACCCTGTCCTAATGATGTTTAATGTTTCATCATTTTATGACAATGAATACTTTTTTAAAAAGTCACTTACCACATATTTCTTAATGGGTATGAGTTAAATTATAAGAACACTGTCTGAATGCAAGATAAACATGGCAGGAGAAGGTTATTTAAAGGCAGAAGTGGTCGGAATAGGACCGGGCCAATGCTCTCCCATTTATCAGTTGGGGGTGTTACGCCATTGGCCAGCTCCTCGTACCTCTTTTAGCCTCTTAATGCAGTAAAACTGTCAGCACTTGGCCTTAAAAAAAAAAAAACTATCTTGGTAATCAGTTGCTCTGTGGAGTTATTTCCACCTGCAGCAAAAATCTCCTCTGAGATCAATACCTGCTTATTTAGTAAAGGTACTATTTCATAATTTGCCATAGGACTGGGGTTGGACCCTGGCAAGTTCCCCACATATTTATACAAGTGCAGCAGTTTTCTCCTCCTAAAACAAAGACAAGCTCATATATAATGATGCTTGTCATCTTAACGTGATGGAGAGCAGACATTACTCTAAAAGCGTGGTTAAATACGATCTCTTCATAGTGGCATGTTCTTTGTGTTTTTGTTCTGTCTTAGGTGTGTGGGCCACACAAGTAATTCCTAAAGGCAAGCGGTTTGGGCCGTTTGCTGGAGAGAAGAAAAAAAGGTCTCAGGTGACCAGTAATGTTTACATGTGGGAGGTATGTGGCATCTTCTTCTGTTAGCTGCTGGTATCAGTGGAGGGATTTTGTAGATGGAGACATTCTACAGAAGTTAGAGGAGGTTTCTCTTTCATCCACAAACAAATGCAATAGATCAGCCGGTCAGCTGACAAAATATTTGTGGGAGAGAGGAAAATGAGGATTCTCTTATGCCTCTGATCTAATAAGAACGGAAAATAGTCTGCACGCAAAAAGCTACGACTTTTTGGTCTGTTCAAGGGTCTTGTTGGCTTCAGCATAGTTGACCATTTGGGGGAATTGAATTGTCAACCAGTAGCGGTGATCTAATTTTTAGGACTTTTTTATGGGTCCTTTAATGTAAAAAGAAAGAAAAAATATGTGTTAGTCTGGATGTCTGCTCAGATTTGGCTGAACACCCGAGGACTGGAATCATGGGCTGTTAGCCCAAAAGACTGATACGGCAAACTGTAGCCACAAAAAGCCCATTTATGCTCTTAATCAAGCATTCAAAGACTTCAAGTCATCTGTTCAGGTCCTTTTTTACGCTGGTCAATAGCCAGCTACCGCACACTATTGAAAGGAGCCACCTATAGATGTGTTTAAAAAAAATTGAAATATTAATGATTTTATTCTTCAAAACTAAAATAAGTAAATGTAATATTTGCATGATCTTTAGTTCAATCTTTTAGCATCTTTCACTAAAAAGTAAGAATTAAGTGTATTAGTCCGACTCGTCCAACACAAATGTACCGTTTCAGCTTAGCATAAGTGCAAAGTATTTACAGACTGTTGCTCTGCTACAATAAGATCCAGATATTTTTTCTGTAAGCTCAGGGTCAACCACAAAAAAAAGCATTCAACCTAAAGAGCAAAGTCTATCCAACCACCCCATTTGTAAATAATCTTTCCTAACTCATTGAACTATGATGCATTCATCTTTGTTTAAACGTGTCCGATGTTTTGATGCTATTAAGCATCAAGATATTTTTAATTAGTAAAGTCTTCACATTTAGGAATGGTGCACTGTTGTAACTTCAGATTCTCTGTGTAGACCTCACTAAGTAGGCCAGCCCACCCCTTGTAAGTGTTCTTAAATGAGTGTTGTGTCCGGGGTTATCTCGGTGCTTGTGTGCTTTAGGTGTACTTCCCTTCCCGGGGATGGATGTGCATAGATGCCACAGACCCAGTGAAGGGGAACTGGTTACGATATGTGAACTGGGCTCGTTCCAGTGAAGAGCAAAATCTTTTTCCGTTGGAGATCAACAGATCCATTTACTACAAAGTTCTCAGGGTAAGTTAAACGCTCTTTTCACCCCTTATGTGTAAACAGGCTTCTGCTGGAAATGGGAAAAAACTTAAGTTAATTTTAAGCTCACACTCCCTTATTTTACCATAAGCTTGTGCACAGATGCTTGTTTAGGCGTAAAAACTGAAAGCCTGCCTCTGAAATCTTGAGGGAGAGGGTTAGATTTAGCTTTGTGGGCCTGTGAGAGTGAATGGAGTAACAGAGCTGGAGGACTAAATGTTGTTTTTATTTATTCATAAATAGAGGGAGATACGTTAGTCTTGCTACACTTCACAAAGCTCGCACAGACTACTTTTGAAGACTGGAGCATGTTGAAGATGTGGTCACTGAATAATCACTCCGGTTTGAACACTTGTGTTCGTTTGAAAATTTATGGTTACATCAGGTGAACGCTTTGGTCACCAGAGCACATTTTCTTGAAGAGAAAGGGTGTTTTAAGATGTCAAAATCTTCTGAAGAGCTTGGATGTCTTTCTGTTAACTAACGTTCTTTCTCCTCTGGCTCCTACTCTTTGTGCTATAAATATAATTTAAGTGTTTAAGGACAGATCTGTTTATTAACCCTGATCTGTTGACGTCCATATATAAATCTATCAGCCGCTTTACGTAAGGGTCACTATCTGAAAACTCTCAGGCCATTTCAAATTCCCAGCTGATGGTAATGTTTCTTATTTAATCTACTTTTTTTTTAACGTGATTTAGAAAACAACAGTCACCACATTGTAACACCGTCAGTGTGCGGGAGGTTTACATGGAATGAAATATATTTATACTTCTGTTCAATCCTGCTTAATTAGAGGGCCATAATCAGTTCTTTCATTAGGGAGTGAAATGAGTAAAAAGACTGTTTCAGTTTCTGTTTATCTAACATAATCCTAGATAGTGTAGAATAGTTGCCCTGCTGCTGCACAAGCCTTCATGGATGTGAAATTGAGTTTTTATCATCTGCACAGACCCTTCAGAAGATATATGGTTCAGTTGTGTGCTGTTTTGTGGTTCCACATAAGATTTGGTGATATCAGGAAAATATGCAATATACTTCTTGAAATATAGGACTTTAGATGTAACAAATGCTTAGATATTTAGCGTATGAATAATGGATGCATTCCACTGGTTGTTGCACGCTGGTTGTTGGTAGAACGTACACAAAAAAACTCCTTCTTACTGGAATGCAGCCCTCATTAATACATCTCTGCTTGTTCATTTCTAAATCTCTTTTTGCCATACTCTTATTGTAATGACTATGTTTTTAATATTTTATGAAACCTCTGAATGCACTACAGTTAAATGAACTCTTTTTGAAATAACAGAAATTGTACCTTTTTATAATGTTTAGTAAATTAGAATATAGCAGTGTTGCTTTTTTCTCTTTTGTAGTAATAATCATGTGTATTTAACAAATTGTAACCGAGTATAACAACAGCACCGGGCTGAGGTTACAAACCGTAATGCTGTATGATGCACTTGTTCTTAAGACTGAACTGAAAACAAAACAAAACACTGAAGCTCAGATCATTCAGTGTGCTGAAATTTCATAACCGTCCAGACAGATTAGATGCACAGTAGCCCAAATATCCCACTTGCCTCTCAGCAAGCCGCTCTGTGATTGGTGGGCCAGCTCATCTCTCACTGTTGCAGCCTATCGGGCCCGGAGAGGAGCTGCTGGTGTGGTACACAGTGGAAGACAACCCTGAGATAACAGCTGCACTGGAGGAAGAAAGAGCCAACAGTCTGAGCAGGAAAAATTCACCCAGGGCGAAGCGAGGTAAGGCCTAACTTCAAGCCTTCCTGACATCCTGCTTCGCTTCGCCACCCGCGTGGCGCTTTCTCGACCCGCTCACGGACGCGTTTGTTTCGCAGCTCTGTCGAAGTTGGAACTGACGGAGCTAGCTGGCTACAATCGGAGGAAGGCTAGTGGAAGCTAACGTGCGATGTGTTGGGCTTTTCTCTACTTCCATATCCGACCTAGAACTCGTCCGTGCCACCAGATTTGGCTCGTAATAGCCGCCGGCTAGCCACCTAGTTGCCGTGAAATACCAGGCTTAGATTTAAGCCGAGTATTTGAGCAACTTTGTCCTGCAGCTTTTCCCCGACTGGGTCCGACGTTGTTGAGGATGTGACCTTCCTTGAGTTCATCCATCGGCGAGCCTTTACTTGATGATGGCCTAGCAGGTTAGCTAACTAGCCAGCTTCCTTATCCAACTTGACCTGTCTTCGGGTGCAAATATTTGATCGCGACCTAAACGATAGCTCTTGTGGCGTGTTTCCAGGACCAGGCTGTCTGTCATTTGGCTTCTGAATGACGAGTTTAGCAAGTTGTCAGACTTGGTGTTGCCTATTAGCACGAGGCTATACGCCTAGACACGGACATCTAAGTGTGCACGAGCAGCCAGAAGAAAACTGTGATTAAAATGATTAAAACCACTCGACATCCACTTTTAAACCATAACACTCAGCTATTTATTATTAATGTACATCGAATGGTTTTCTTTGCAGTTAAAAATGTATGCGTGACTTCACATCAAAACAAAACCCCAAAGAAACGCTTCAGAATCCTGATTTTTTTTCTCCAATTTTCTTAACAAAAATCTGAACAAAACTTGTTAATGTGCCGTTATTTAAGTAAGTTTAAAAGGCAACCATCAACTAAGTCCTTCAACTTGCGAGGAAGTATCAACCTGGGCGGTGTGTCACATTTACATTCCTCAAAAAAAAAACCTGGAACATGTTTTTCTTTTCTTGAAGAAAGCATAGTTAAAAGCATAGTCTAAGAACAATCTATAAAACCTTAGAATAATGCAAATAGGAAGAAGCCACGTTTTGATTATTTGCCACTTATTACCCAACAGATGACAGGAAGAAGCTGCACTTTGTTACCACGTAATTACATTGACGCAGAAGATAAGACGGTCATAGACACAAGTCCTTTCTTGTAACATGTAAAACGCACACATTTTCGAAAAAACCTCTATACGTACAAATGACTGTGAGCAACGTCAGAACAAGCACGTTATGTTCACGCAGATTTCCAGAGTCAGGAGCTGTCCCAGGCAATTGCTCTATTAGAAGGGACTTTTTGTTTCTGAATGTCGTGTGCAAAGTCAGCTCAGACTGTCACAGTGAGCAACATTTGGATGTCATTAGATTATTGTCCACATAATCAAAATATTGTCTATTTGCATCTTATCCTGGAAGTATCTTGGCTCTTTAGTCGGATTAGTGTGTGCCTCTTGGCAGCCATCTTTTGAGTGCAGGTTAAGAAAAGCTTCCATGGTTATTTTTGGTTTCAAATCAAAATGTTGTTGTTTTTTTTGGTTAAATATCGCTGTAAAAATTCTGGTTCTTCCTTTTTATTGAGACAAATTTTTGGTGGAAACAATGTCCAAATTGTGGAGAATCAAAGTGCAATGAGATCGAAGTTCAGTCAAACTTCAAACTCAGGAAAAAGATTTTAATGCGTGAATATTACTGGTTCCCCTTAAAGTAGATTCAGTTATTCTAATGATGATGCAAAATGGTCATTTTCAGTTACACTAATACTATTAAAACATACCTTTAGTAATATGTCATTATTATCAGAGGCACCTAACTTAAGCTAAATGTGTCTACTATCTAGCCAAATGCTTCTGACTATACTAATGAGATGACAGGCCTGCATGAAGGTGAGAGGCAGCATGTGTCTCTGGTATGATTTAGGATTTGCGGGCCAGGTCAGATGACCGTGTTGTCACACTCCAGTGACATGAGGCCATTGGGTATCGCCCTGGCTCAAGCAAGGCTTGGAAATGCTTTCTGAAATCACGTTTAGTAACACGCACGTTTGAATTACTGATGCATGAGAATCCCTAATTATAAACGAGATTCAAGGTTGCACAAGGATGGTTGTGAAGCTCAGTCATACATTGGTATTTTAGGACTAACCCTTCATGTTATTTTATACAGGAAGAAAAAAAAGTTTTAATGATACTTAACACAAAATGATTTCTGTGTGTGTGTGTGTGTGTGTGTTTGTGCTTTCAGCGCGGAGAAAGCAGCTGGAGAAAGCCAGACAGGCTGGTTTGGGTGGATTCAAAAGAACAAGTGCAACCAAACCTACTGCTAAGGAGATGTGGGACGAGGGAGAATGTGAGTTTGCTTGGTGCCTAACAGAAACTTATTTTAACAGGACCTTACATAGATTTTTAATTTTGAAGCTGTAGATTAAAAAACGAGCTTGACAAACAACTGTTTCTATGTGTTTACAGGCACAAAGGAGGACGAGCGGCCACCGGGAACCTCCCAACAACTAAAGGAAGTCCACTCCTCTGAGAGCACCGCCTGTAAAGATGTGCAGGACATGTCGACAGCATTAACGAACACAGGAAACTGGGAGGAGGAGGAGAATGAAGAGGAACATGAGGAAGTGGAGGAAGAGGAAGAAGAGGAGGAGGAAGAAGGAGAGGAAGAGGATGGGTATGATCAACATGACATACAGCACCGCACCTCTCAGCAGTCCAATGAGGCTGATTCTGTGCAAAGCACTCAGTCCACTCCATTGCTAAGCTGTGGTGAACAAAGCCATAAGGATTCGCAGGTGACGCTTGACTGCTCTCTTGCTGGTCAAGAGCCAGAGGTTGACCCTCGTCTTGACCCTGACGGTGAGCTCGACGGGGATCCACAAGGAGAGTCGTCGCATCCCTGTGACCACTGCGAGCGGCACTTTTCCACCAGGCAGGGTCTGGAGCGTCACATCCACATTCATACCATCAGCAACCAGCAAGCACAATTCTTCAAGTGCCGATACTGCAGCAAATGTTTTGGCTCGCAGGTGGGGCGGCGGCGGCACGAGAGAAGACATGAAAACAGTTCTAAGAAAAGGCCCGGCTCCCTGGCTGGAGCCGGCGGTCTGCTCAGTCCCGTGGCGCTGACCGACTCGAGTCCTGACTGCACCACCACAGCCGGTCAATTTATAGCCATAGGCTCCCAGTTTACAGCGGCTCACCTGCAGAACTCTGAAATCCAGAGGAAGGAGTTGGGCCCTCCTGCTGACCGTCCCTCCATGCTGGATGAAAACGGTGAGTCAAAAGAACTCCATCCCTGCAAGTATTGTAACAAAGCATTTGGCACGCACACCAACATGCGCAGGCACCAGCGCAGAATACACGAGCGGCACTTATTACCCAAAGGAGTGCGCAGGAAAGGCATGCTGGCACCGGCACAGCTACAGCCCGGTGAGTCCCCCAGTACCAGCCCTCCACCCGTCTACATGCCCAGCGCTGACACAGAGGATGAGGCCGACAGAGATGACTACACAGTCGACATATCCAAAAACATCTCGGAAAATCTAAGCTTCTACATTGACGGCAAGATTGTGTCCACTGGTGCAGTCAGCAGTTGTGAGGTGATAGAGGTGGACACCAGGTCAGCAGCGCTGTTTGGTCTGGACACGGTCATTATCAGCCCAAATCAGCTTGGCCATGCACTGAAGGTGGAGGGCAGAATGAATGCTGCAAAGCAGATTTCCAGCGGTGGGCAGCCAACTGCGAAGAGAAGAACATCGACACCCCCACTCGTCACCGGCCTTAAAGTGGAGACGGAAACAACGCCGTCGCCATCATCATCTACATCTTCCACTTCAAACCTGTTAGTGGGAGGAGTGTTTCAGCCCGTCATGGAGTCAAATGTGTTTCAGCGAGAGAAAACTGTTTACCTTTCGCCCAAGCTCAAACAGCTCCTTCAGACGCAAGACTTTCAGAAATCCACCCTGGCGCTCATTACAGAGGGCCACAGGCTGGCCTCTCCGCTGTCAGTCACGCAGCTGCAGGGGGCTTCAGGAAAGTTTAAAAGAAGAACAGGGTCACCTCCATCCTCCCCGCAGCTCAGTCCTGCAGGTAAAAATGAAAGCTGTAAAGCAGAAGTGGCGAGTGCACACACGCTGAAGGTGCCAAAGCTGGAAAGCCACAGCGTGCCACCTCCGGAGAGTGTGTTGGACAAGGATGAGGAGGAGGATAGTCTGAGCCCCTCTGGAGAGGCCATGCACAGCCAAGCTTCCACCAGCAGCGGAGGAAATTCCTGTAATCAGCAGCCGTTAGATCTGTCAAACTTTGTGAACCGACGGAGTGACGAGTTGAACAAGGTGGTGGGGGATTTAGCTCTGGATTTAAGCCTGCACCGCAAGACCCCGGTTGATTCAGAATGTAAGGGAAATGCAGCGACGCAACCTCTTGCAAAAAAGAGAAAGCCTAACACCAGTATGCTTGAGAAGGTGCTAATGAATGAGTACGTAGGTCTGACTTTGCCAGGAGAGGAGGGTCCCTCCAGCCTGGCAAACCTCAGCAGTTTCAGTTCTCACTCTCCAAATATCCCATCAGAGTCTGCACACCCGTCTCCACCCTCTTTGACCCCCGTCACTATAAACCCCTCCTCGCCCAGCAGCAGCAGCGTAACATCCCCGACACCTCCCCCCCCTGTTCTTCCTACCATACCGTCTCCACCAGCCATGCCTAGCTCCCCTCTCTCTCAGCCCTCAGACTCGCCGGCTTTAAGGCCTCTTCCTGTCCTTTCCCCAAAAATGTCCCCGAGATCGTCCGAGCACAAGCCCACGTCCGATGCTGTCGAGGATTTCTTAGCTGGGGAAAGCAAAGACGAAGATGAGATCCTTAACTCGGAGCCTCTGGATTCCCCCGACACTCAACACGAAGGTCCTCGTAATCGCACAGTGCCAGCAGGCTCACCCGGCCCCTCATCCTTCAGTCTGCCCGTTAAAGATGATGTTTTGCAGCCGGCAGCTTGCAATAGTCTTCTGAATGGCATCTCAAACCCAGATGCTGCCGCAGAAACAGAGATTTCTTTTAAATCTGACTTTCATCCCCTGTCGTCCAAGCCAGAATCGTCTTCTTTGCCGATATCTCATCCTCTTACACCCCGAGAGCCATCGCCGTCACCCTCTCAGTCTTCCCCTCTGATTAAGGTGAAAGAAGAGCCACAGCACTGTGAGGATTTGTCAGCTTGGAATCATGCGCCTCAGCATGGCGTTCACTCTTCTCACCAGCCTGCAGCTCCTGGAAAAGCATCTGACAAAGCCTCGGAGGAAGAGGAATTGGACTTGACGTACTGCAAGACTTTTGTGTGTAATGTCTGCGAGGAGCCTTTCGACTCCATCAAAGAGCTGAGCGGACATATCACAGAGCATGCCACAGACTGGCCCTTGAAGTGTGAATTTTGCGTTCAGCTTTTTGGTGACGCCCCAGCTCTGCTGACTCACCGGACAACACTACACGGAGTGGGTCAGATTTTTGTGTGCTCCGCCTGCTCCAAAGAGTTTGCTTTCCTTTGTAACCTCCAGCAGCACCAAAAGGATCTGCACCCAAATGAGACTTGTTCACATACTACTGTAGAAAGTGGCAAACTGAGGCCACAGAATTACACCGATCCATCCAAAGCCAAAGAGGAAAGCAGTCCCTCAACACCAGCACCGGAAACGGCCGAAGACGGAGATCCTGAAATGGGCGATCACCTAGCGGCGGAAGAGCCCGATGTCAACGGGAATCACGCGGAGGATCCCAACGAGGAGCTGTACACTACAATAAAGATCATGGCGTCAGAGGGGGGAAAGCCGAAAGGCCCTGACGTCCGCCTTGGTATCAATCAACACTATCCCAGTTATAAACCACCGCCGTTTCCCTACCACAGCCGTTCCCACGCCGGCTCTGTGGCCTCCGCCACAAACTTCACCACCCACAACATACCGCAAACCTTCACCACTGCCATTCGCTGCACCAAGTGTGGCAACAGCTTTGACAATATGCCCGAGCTCCACAAGCATATACTGGCCTGCGCCAATGCCAGTGACAAGAAGCGTTACACCCCCAAAAAGAATCCCATCCCCCTCAAACAAATAGTAAAGAGTCCAAATGGCGTGGTGTCCCCTACTGCGGCCGCCGTGGCTCCGGGGGCTTTCCGTAGAATGGGCCAGCCAAAGAGACTTAACTTTAACCAGGACGGCGGCAAAACAAAGATGAGCGCTCTCAGTAAAAAGAAAAATCAGCTGGTCCAAAAAGCCATCTCCCAGAAAAACAAATCTGCCATCACTGCGAAGAAGGCCGCCGTCAAAGTGGAGGAAGAGCACGCCTCCAACGTCTGTCCGCACTGCAGCCGGGAGTTCACCTACACGGCCAGCCTCACCAAGCACATGGCCGTCAGCTGTCCCATGAAGCCCGTCCTCGCCAAGAAGGGCAGAAAAGCTGCGGCGGAGGTGAAAAAGGAGGCCGTCTCTGCGGCGGATAAAGGCGGCAGGAGGAAGCCCTCAGAGGGCGACGTGCAGGCGGAGCCAGAGCCGAGGCCTCTGGGAAAAACCAGAGCGCGCAGCTCCGGGGCCGCGGACCCGGAGCCCGCCCACACGGGCAAGGGAAAGGGCGCCGCTCCGGCGGGCCGACTAAAGAGGCCCACCCCGTTCCCCTCGCCCCTCCCTGCGGGCAAAAGAACCAAGAAAGCCCAAGTCCAGTCTCTACCTCCGACCCCTTCGGCCCTGGACGGCCCCGGCGAGGCGGCGCACCGGCCGGCCATGAGGCTGCAGCGCATGGGCAAAGAGCCGGCGCCCAAGAAACCAGCAGAGGCCAAATCGCCCCCCCAGCTGAAGAAAGAGGAGCGCTTCTCCCTCAGAACCAGGGAGAGGGTCGGGGGTCCGGTCACCAGGAGCTTACAGATGGCTACCACATCTCCCGCCGATGTGAAAACTGAGGAACTGCCGACGCAAGAGCCGAAAGACTCTCAGGTGAGAGATACTGCATTTGAAAGTTGCCGTATGTCCTAAAACAGGGTTCCAATGTGTGCGTCTCTATAGTCCTTACTGGCTTTTTGCAGACATCACCGTTTAACTGGCCATTAGGTCACAAGTGGTTCGACTACAGAGATCCCAAAGATAAGCATTTAATTTTCCGGTAGAGTTTTTTTTCAGTGCTGCAGTGTTCAGCTGTTTTTAAGATCCACGGAAACATTGAAATTAGCAGCCAACAGCCCTCAGAAGTATTGGGGAACAAAACAAAACAAAAACAAAGCTTTTGTATTTAGCCCTTGAAAAGCCAGCATTGTGGAAATGCCTCTTATCCTGGGAACCAGATTAATCTGAGAGCTTTTGTTTCGTCTGTCCTGCCAAAATTAACTGACCCTCTCTTGTTCAGATTTCCACAAGGCCTTCATCATGCCAAACCAATTGTAGCCATTTATCCAATATGTGGGGGGGTTCTGCTAATGACTGTAAAGCCCCCTTTTAGAAATAAATCAAGTTATCGTTGAGTCTCATTTGGTCAACATTTCAAAATGAAGTGCATGACGACATGTTTTTTTCCTCAAAGGAGAACAGATAGTAGAATTTAAAGGGACGTGGAGGACTCTGCAGAACATTTAAGGTATTTGTTGGCCCCATTGGTCGCTACATGACATTGTGTCTTTCTGCCAGTTGTGTCGGTCTGTCTGCTTCTGTTTAGAAGCATTGTGGTCTGCGCCAAATGATGGCACCTGCTGACCCTGACCCGAGATGACCCCGGGTTTCCCTCTCTCCCCTTTTGCATTGCATACAGTTTAAATGAAAATTCCACCACTCTTTTATTTTAGTTTGTTAAAGTTTCACGACGTCTAATACTTAGGGAAAGTGTTACCACCCAAAACTTGACATTTGCCTCAAACCCTGCAGTGACCTCACGGTCGATATGCTATCCTAGAAAAACACTAATGTCCCGCTATGTAGTGACCAATAAACCTTTAAAAAGAAATTGAAGTAAAACTGTAAAAATATGTTTTGTTTCCTACCCCATCTCTGTGTGGCTTAATACTGTGTTGTGTGTTGTAGGAGGTGCTAATGAAGTGAGCCATGGTGACAACATTACCTCTTCCTGGGAATAGTGTTCACCTGTGGGGAAACCCTCTGGACTCACCAAGGCCCCACTGACATTCTGTGATGCTTTTCTCGCCTGAAACAAGCCTGCCTATCTCAGCTGCGTTTGCTGGACTGTAGGAGGGAACTGTCTCGACCTTCCACTCCTCCTATGGACAAAACTGAGCCTCTTTTTCTGACAGCCTTGCAAAAAATGAAACTGTAAATGATGATGAGTTAATATATACAACACGTGTCATGGCTTGAGCCAAAACTGTACGATTAGGGCTCCGTTAGTTTGGAAAGCTGATATATTGCAAATGGCAATCATGTATCAGTTAGGGTGAGCTGAACTTGTTAATCCTTTTTGTTCCGTATTCCCCCCCTCCCCTTTTTAGATTCCACTCTCTCTTAATGCATGTGCTGACTAGAGAAAGTCTAGCTGAAGGCAGGTCCCATGTCTCTCCCAGTGGGCGTGTTATTCAGTTTATCCAGGATTTGCAAACTATGTATGTTTTTGATTTAAAATGTTTGTAGTCACTATATTATAGATTATATCTTATTGGCATATTTTTGTTTGGGAAACAAAAATCAAAAATGGCAGTTGCTAACGGCAGCAATCGGTCCTCAGGAACACTGTACATGCGTGTGGAAAGTATGTGGTTATGGTTGTGTTTGGATGTGTAGTCCAACAGCTTTTCCCTTTTGACGGACATCTCAAATGCGTCTCATGTTTTTACCTGCTGTCCACCTCCTTTTCCAGGCTAAGCAGGAAGCTCCAGCTGTAGAATGATGGGAGGCACGCTGTGCTCCCCCTCAAATGATGTCTGACTTTCAAATGATTAATAGCATTAAAAAAAACCCAATGTTCTCACAGCACTTTAAAACAAACTGCCAAATGTTCACGCAGGATCAGTCAAATTCGGAGGGTGAAAGCGGAGTGCCGTGGAATGTGGTCCGGTCCGGACCGCTCTACAGACATTGGGAAGTCGTCCCACATTGGAAGATATCTGATCTCGAGTACCGCCTTTACAGTCTTGTTGCAAAGAAATGCTAAAAGTGGTTGTCTCCTTCGAGGCAAATACCCATGAAAATGCATAATTTTCATGGGTCAGACATGGTCTGTCTTTGTTTTTTTTAATGCGCCATATCGGAAACGTTTCCAGAATCCGTTAAAGTGGACGTTTGCAGAGTTGTTTCACGTGTCGCTTTGCTTGGAAGATTCATGCCTTGAAGACTGTTTTAATGATACATGTGGTGAGAAATGTCCAGCCAATGAAAAACTCCTTCATTCTATTATTTTCTCTTTGGTCTCTCCATTGTACCCCCCCAACCCTTTCACTCATAGCCATGTAGAATTGTACCACAGAGGCAGTTCTTAAGACCTTGTAGCATGTTAATGGGAAAGGAAATTGAACAGTATGATTTGAAGCTAATTTATATTTCCATGAGAAATCTTTGCTTTGTCTTTCAGCATCAAGATCTTGTATTTAAGGATGAACAAAGATCCCAAATGACCTCAAGTAAAACATTGCTGTAATTGACACAATAAAGAAAGACGTTTTTCAACTTATGGTAAAGCAGCTTTTTTAAGTTTCCTGTGTTGCCGGTCACTGGGATGGGACGTTGTTTCCCTTCTGAAGTTTTACACCGTCATAGTTCTGTGATGTTGGTAAAGTATCAGCAGTTATTCTGCCATTTAGATATTTTTTGTAATTTTTATTGGATGTGAGCTTAAAGAATCTGATCCACAGAAGGAAAAGTTAAATCCTAAACCAGACTGACGAGTCTGACTGTGATCGCTGTTCAGATACCCTTCATTCATTTATGATGAGTCACTATTAGTCATAGTCGTGATGAATGTCAACAGTTGATGACATAAATAAGTGCTCTTCAACAGCAGCAGAGCTAATCTAGGTTCTTAAATCATGTAAAGACAAAATGTAAGATGAGGTCAGTGAATCCACATCAAGTAGCAGCACACATCTGTCTGTCCAGCATCCCAATCAGAGGAAACCTGGACATAGAAGAACACAAACTTCCAATTCTCAGAGTCAACAGCAGCAAAGCGATGCTGAAATATGGAAAATAAACTCTGAATAAGTATTTAACATACTTCTAAATGCGTACTGTGACTAACTGAAAGGAACACGTCCCATCCCCTCCAGGTGTTTTTACTCTGAGTGGATCGGTATTCAAGGAACACTCCCTGCAGAGTTCTATTTTTTTTAGAGTTCTATTTAATTAGAAAAAAATTACCATAAATTATATATAAACGGGTAGAACAAAACGTCTATGAATATCTTCTAAGATTTAATCTGTCTGGTGTTAATCTGCCGATTTTATTTTTGGCCGGGCCTCATTTGTCACACTCACATTTAGTTTAATTATTTCTTACACAGCCATCAAGCCCACTGGATGGAGATATCCTTTACACTCTGTGTAAGAACCCAGCAAAGAGCTGGAAGGTGTTATGCTCTCCATCCGCACAGATCTGGGGCCATCTTGTTGATGGATGGTGTTATGAATTAAATGGAGTTTGTATGTTGGCTTTGATCCACACTGCAGATTTTTCTCCATTGAGAGGAATGTGAATACATGTTTATTTGCTCCAGTGCCATGATGGAATAGTTTATAGCTGCACGTGGTTTATGGATGTTTAGCTGTTGCTGTGTGAGCGTGTGTGTGTGTGTGTTTGTGTAGGGATGGGGAGTTGAAAGAGTGCTGCAGCGTACTCATGCTGTCAGGGTGAAATATCGCTGCACTCTCTCCTGATTGCTGTGGACGCTGCTTCGGCCCTGTTCATAAAAATGCAGTTCAATGCTGCTCCGTCAGCTTGACGGAATAAACTACGACATGCCAGAGAGGCAGATATGAAGATGTAATGTGAGACATTTTGCTATAGAAGCCTCAATTAACTCTTGGTTACCTCATGTGAGAAGATGCTCATATCTGGAAAGATAAGAATGCAACCGCAGCACTGTGAAGCACAATAAAATCAGATAAGTGACCTGTGTTGCTCTGTCGATGGAGGCATTATCCGGAAAGAAACCCCTCCCATCTAATAGAGATCTTTCCTGTAATCAGTCTGGCTTTAATGGGTAAGTGGACTTGGGCAAAATGAGGAAGATCCAGGGTGTGCCTCACTTTCAGGACTCCTTGTAAAAGAAAAACTCCCTTTGCCCCTTGAATAAAAAAACAAACACTTTTGATTTACATAGAAATGTCCTGAATCCCAACTTCAGTAAGTGAAGAAATGCAGAACTCTATTTCTCATCTGCACTCTTTTACTTTGTTTATTACATTTGAATCGATTCTTACCTTTGAAGTCCTGCAAATGTGTGTGTGTGCTGTCATCTAAAGGGGAGCTGTCAGTGTGTATTCCTGAGCAGTGCCAGAGGAACGTGTGCTGAGGCTGATGATGCAAAACTTTTGGGCCCGCTTTCTAAAACTGCTTTGAGACTTGTGAGCATTGTGCAAAAGGCGGGGCCCTGCTGTGTGTGCCTGGCTCCCGGTCTCATTCTCAGTCTGCGGCTTTGGTCCGTGCTCTTCACATCTCTGCTCGGATCACATTGTCCCCCTCAGTGGTCTTGCTGCTGTCCATCAGACTCGAGCTACCAGCTTCAGCAATGTACATCCTCATTCGAATCCTGCTCGTCAAGTCAGCAAATATTCCTCTTATTCCCCCTTATGTATCGTTGGTTTGCTGGTGTAGTTTTAATTTGGCTTTAAACGCACAATGTGACGGCTGCCCACAGGAATCCCAAATTCGCAGCAATGATCTTCTTGGCTTTGTGTCATGGCGTGCCAGGATCTGGTTGTTTGTGTGCCGAGCGAATGTTATTAGTTTTTTTTTTAGGTGAGTTACGAAAGAGTAGATATTTTGGCTCAATCGAAAAGTCAGGGGGGTTCAGTTCCTCCTGAGGGAAGCATAACTGTCTGCACAAATATTTCAGCGTGGAGACGTGTGGTGGATGGACTGCACAACATGCTGACACTGCCATCCACACATCCAGGCGCAGAGCTCAAACTGTCACAAAAATGGAAGCCCATCTGGAAAGATGAGAATCTGACTTTTATCGTAGGTACCCCGTATCCACAGGGCACGAACTCAACAGTGCTGCTCCCCTGTGAGGCACTGAGAAACCTTTCAGGCTATATTTAAAAAAAAAAAAGCTGCTTCAGCCTTCTTGTAATGTGGATCATTTAACTGAATGGTCAGACCATTTATTTTAGATGATGCCGTTAAAAAGCAACGAAAAACAGTTGGTCAAAATTGGAGACAAAACTGTTAACAAAATATTTCTATATATAATGTAAATCATTCAGCCAGAAACAAATATTTTGATGTATTTTGTTAAACTGAAAATGTAATTCCTCAGAAAAAAAGCACACTTTGAGACTCCATTATTGTGGTAAACATCTCACTGAGAGAGCAGATATTAAGGCTTTCCCACCTCCACCATTAGAACCACAAACTAGGGTAAATTAGTTCTAATGTTAGCTTCTGATAACTTTGAATCCTAATAATGGATAATCGGTAAATTTAGTTTTTTTGTGTTTGTGTTAAGAAGGCTTTAGGACATGTTTTTGACAGGAGAATAAACTTGTGAGCTCATACTTTACTTACTGTAAAAAATCTGGGGTTTGAAGGCAGTAATCTGCATGCTGTGATTATTCAAATACACATTCATCTGTAGAGATAGCAGCCACTGACAGGACAAGCAGTGGCAGTTGCTCTAACATGACAATATGCGGCAAACTAAAAAAAGCTCTGTGCCCCTATTTCCTGTTCAAAGAGAATAACATTAAAGCTGATGAAGATGAAGAGATTTATTCTGCTGGGCATTAGTCCCAGAGACCTGGAGATGTCAAGTGAGCCTTGTCATTGTTTTTGAAATCCCCGTATTCAGTCTGACTTTCTCATTTTGAAGTTTCAGGATTTTTTAAAATTCTGCATGCAACCACATGCTGTGAGCTTCTGCGTTTGAATTAGCGACTTCACCTCAAGCAGCCCCACTTCATGTCACCGTCTTTTTGCGTCTGCGTGGGATATGGGCCGCTTTTCTCCTTCTCACTCGAAGAAGCACTTGCTGAATACGGCCCGCTCCTCCGACCTCCCTCTGAGGTCCACTGAGCGTCCAGCCCTTTCCTTTAAAAACAGAAGGATGTGATGGGAGGATGTGTGTGTAGGCTGTAGTCAGGTCCCTGGTGAGCTCAAACTTGCAGCGCGGTGGTGTGAGAGATGGCTCCATGACAGCGGGTTTCCTGGCCAAGCTCTTTTTTTTTTGTCTTTCTGAGGAACAAATTGGCTGTTTAACACCAGTCTTCAGGCTGTGGAGAGGTTAGGCAGAACAAAGATGATTTAAGCATGATAAAATGTGGGCATGACGGTGTCAGTTTAGTCCGTGTTGGAGGTCTCCATGCCAACCGCAGCACACAAGGTCCAATGGCCCATCCAAGGCTTCATAAGATCATACACCATGTCCTTATTTGATCCTTAGGGATTGTTGGTTTTTGGTCTTTGTTGCTATGCATGTGGTTCTGGCATCTCATTTTTAATATTCAGTCCTTCATCGGGACTGTGTTGTCGAAATTCCGGTTCATTAGTGTCATGTTTTCAGTGGAGCATAGGCTGATCTTTATTTCATACTCTGCAGTTGTCTCCAATTCTTTTTCATGATAAAGCCTCTGGAAACTACTGTCTGTACCAGCCCCACTTTTCACTTTTTACTTTTTACACAACCCATCCACTCACTCATCCTCCTGTGTCTTTGCCTCAGCACTGGGGGGGGAAGATGAAGCACTTGGGTTTGCTGGAGTCTGTTTTCCCGGCAGCGACCCAAGCTGTAAGATGGATCGGGGTGGGGTGGGGGTGTGGGGTGGGGGATTTGCATGGGGTAGGGTGGAGGGAGGAAGAGATGTGAGTGAGGACAGGAGCGTAAGAGAGAGAGATGTAAGTGCTGAGGCACGGCAAATGAGAACTACTGAGAGGAGACGAGGGTGGGAGGAGGGAGGAGAGGACACGCCGATCCGACAACAGTCCAGAGGACAGGTGCTGCTGCCTTCTGTGGTGAGAGGAATGGATCGATCTTTTACCTACTGGAGTCAGGAGACTCACTTCTAGCTTTGCCTCTCTGTTCCTCTTTCCCTTTCTGCTGAGGCTGTCTGGAGACTGTGGGTCTGAGCGGGATCAGAGCGAGTGGCTGCCCTGCCTCCCTGTTTTTACTCGCCCTCACATTCGTACACCGGCGCGCTCTCAGAGGCACGCAGTCAGAGAACTTTCTCTCCCGCGCACGCACTCACATGCTGACAAGTAGGCAGGCACACCCCCCTCCCGTTATCTCTGCGCCGAGCAGCTCGCCTCACATCGGCGAGAGCTGCGAAGGGCTGCGCATCACTCCTCATCCGCAGCAGCAGGACCGGTCCTGGGGAGACCTCAGCAGACGTCGCCCGCCAGCTCCCTCCAACTCCAGGTTCAGTTTGCGTTACTACTACCCTCTAGTTTCTATTTTCTCCTCTCCTCTCCTCTCTCTCTCTCTTCCCCTCATCTATATGTGACGCAGTGCTC